TGCCTTGTTTCTGGGATAGGAGGCTGAGCCTAGGGAAGTTGGTACCTGCAGACATTGACTTACAAGGTTTGTCGCCCCTGACCAGGGCACACAGCGCCAGGATGAGGAGCGCTGCCAGGAGCCCCACACCGCGAGGTGCCATGTCGGCCTCAGCTGCACCCAGCGGCCTGCAGAATGTACGGTTTCTGCTGCTTGGGGGGTTTATAACCTTCTCTCTGTTTGTTCAACAGGTTTGATAACGTTTCTCCTCTCCTTCATGGCCCCAACCCTGCAGATCCTTTGTTAGGAGGAGCTGAGATAGCTCCACCCCAGAGGCACAGAAGAGGTGAAAGACAGCCATGCCCTGTGCAGGCCAGGCTTCCGGACCAGGCGTGCCCCACTCCCTGCACACTAGCGAGGCCTCCCCTGCCCTGGGCAGGGACCAGGTCATGCCAAGCTGCCAGCGTGGAAAACTGCCACATGCACATCTAGAGCTAGGCACACACACGGTCACATCCGGAAGGGATAAGCCGTGCATTCCTCCTGATAATGTCGTGGCTGCCACAGAAACATTTACAACTGTTGAGAGGAAGGCTGCTATGAGCAGGCAAAAGACAGCATAGGAAAGACCCCTCCCCTCACAGAGGGAGACCTCCCATAGTGCTGCGGAGTGAATCCTCCTTAGATGCAGAGCTGAGGCCCTGGACTGTAGCCTGTGTCTCATCTTCAGCAGTGGGAGCTGCTCTCCACAGATGTAAGGCTGATGGGGTAAACAGAGCAGCCTGGGATGGGCAGCTTTTAAAAATTTACTTTTGGTGTAATGGTTATGTCGCTGGACTCCCTCATAGTGGACTGTGGTTTGAGTCCCAGACTGGGCAGCTTAAAACTCACATCGGGTGCATGCGCATGCGTGTCCAAAATCCTGAAAGGAGAATGGAGGAGAAGTGATTGTGGCATAGCCATCTCTCCCTTGGGGGGGGGATTTCTTGCTTTCTGTCTCTCTGTCTCTCTCTGCCTCTCTGGTGAATGTACACACCCTATAGCAAAAAATCTCTCTCAAAAAAATAATTTTCAGCAAAACCCTGAAGCTGGTTATTTCTTCTTTTGTGGGAATTCTCTTTATTTCCTAAAAGATAGCACCAGGAACCTGGTCCATGCTTAGGGGTAAGATGCTCAGAGAGAGAAGAGAAGAGAAAAAAGGAGAAGCTACAGGACAGATACCCCCAAAGAAAAGGAGGGAAGGGCATGGTATAGAAGGACAGAGGGAGATTCTAAGTCTTTCATCCCTTGTAAAGATTATAGGAGTTGGCCAGTCTGTGAATGACAGTACTACGGTTTGAATGCCCTCTCCAAAACTCATGCCGAAATTTAATCGCTATCGTGATAGCATTAATGTGATAGCATTCTGACTGTGGGGTAACTGGTACCAGACTAGCCCCCCACCATAAGTAACCCCAAGCGGTCAGCAATCACTGGGTCACTGACTGTGAAATTACTGTTTACAGACTCTGTTGAACAGCAGGCAGTGCCTGTGATTGCTGAGAGGGGGAAACATTGCGGTGGCCCCATGGTGCCCTTGTTTTCTGCGTGGAGGTTCCCTTCACACAAATCACAGGGAGAAGACCAAACAGAACTCTGCAATTTCACCAAGTCAAGGAGACAGAGGTGGGGATTGGAAGCTACTGGATTTGGGAGGTAGGAAAAAGAGCTAAAGAGAAATCCAGAAATATGACTGAGTCTAAAGTTTTTAGTTAAATACTAAGCTACTCATGTCTGAAAATCTAGGTGAAACAGCTACCAAAGAAAGATCAGTCACTGGGAAATTGAATTGAAAAACTAATGTAGCTTTCACGGGGTTGGGGATCATCTGAGTTCTGAGTAGCCAAGAGGAGGAAAAGTTGTTCACCAATTCAAGTATTCAGCAGACACAGAAAGACATGCCTTAAGAGAAGACTTAGTCTTTATGAGGCAAAGTTATTCTAAATCCATTCTAGCAAGACTATGAAGTTTTTAAAGAATCAGGCTTACCTGAAAGTAAATTACCTGACTGCATTAATTTGATAAGGCTTTCATAACAAAATACCACAAATTGAGTGACTTAAGCAACAAAAATTTATTTTCAGATAGCTTTGGAAGCTGGAGGTCCAAGATCAAGATGCAGTCAGAGTTTGTTTCTTCGGAGGCCTCCTTCTTTTCTTGCAGATGGCTGCCTCCTTGCAGAGGGTTTATGGGGTCTTTCCTCTGTGTACTCACAACCCTGGTGTCTGCCTTCTTATAAGGACAAAACTCATATTGGATTAGGCCCCACCCTAACAATTCCATCTTAACCTACTCACTTCTTTTAAGACCCCATCTTCAAATACAGTCATATTCTGAGGTACTGCAGATTAAGGCTTCAATATATGACTTTTCAGGACAGAATTCAACCAGTATCAGTGACAGAATAAAGCTCAGCACTTCATTAAAAAAGATAAGATTCAAATACACAATATAGCACCCATAATGCCCAATATAAAGTCAAGTTATTAGAAATGTGAGATCACTCCTGTAGCGCAGTGGTTAAGGGAGTCAGATCCCACATGGTTGACTGTTGTTTTAATTCTGGCCCTGGCAGCTTGAGAAACATGCTGGAAATAAAGATAGATAGATATAGATATATGATAGATAGATAGATAGATGATAGATAGATATAGATACAAGTAAGAAAAATAGAAACTAAAATTGAACCAAGTAAAAATTCTAAAAATAAAACATCGGAAATGAAAATTCACTGAATGGGCTTTAGATTAAAGACAAAATATTAGATACTGCAGAAGAAATGATCAGTTTACTTGAAGCAATATTAACTACCCAACTAAAGCATAGAGAGAAAGAGGGCTGAAAAAAATCAATAGAATTGTATTGACCTGTAATACATTAGCAAGCAGTCTAGCATGCATGGAAATAGTATTTAAAACTATTTACACAAGAATAAGTATTTGAAGAAATAATGGAGATTTTTTTCTAGTGTTGATGAAAATTATAAACTCACAAATCCCAGAAGCTCAAATAACTTTGAAGAAAATAAATATAAAGAAAACCACATCAAGGCATAGCATGGTCATATTGTTGAAAATCAATGATTTAAAAAAAATTTTCTAAAACATGAGAGGCAAAGCATTAATGGAACAAAGAAATGTGGTATTATCTGTTGAAGATAATTTTATAGTTTTATCAACTAGACAAGGGAGAAATGAACACAAGTAGGAATATTCACTTTGTAAGCTAAATAATGTGATTGAATGTAGAAAAGAAAATGAAATTTATATATATATTCCTAAAACAGCCAAAGGAAAAAACATTTCAGAAAGGGGAATCATAATAAGAATAACAACTGACTTTTTATCTGAAATGATGCAAACTACATGTCAATGGAGTAATATTAAAAATGCTGAAGACAGGGAGTTAGAATTCTACATTCAGTAAAAATATCCTTCAAAATAAAATCAAAATACATTTTGTAGATAAACAAAAGCTAAGAGAAGCTATAACTTGCAAACCTGTGTCCCAAGGGAATTTACAGGAAGTCTTCAAGTTGAGTCATGGCCAACTTTTAGCACAGGATATGAGTTTCCCATCTAGGTGGATTTGTTGAATTATGGCACTGCTTGACTTCTATAAGCATTGACATTTACAATTAATTCCAGTCCTCATGATTTCTCATTTGGTTTGCTACAGCTGTCTCTTAGTTACTCTCTCAAACACAAACCATTTTTTCAATATACTCATCTATTTTTGGACATTTGAGTTGATTCCATGCCCTAGCAATTGTAAATAATGCTGTGATAAATATGGATGTGCAAGAGTTTTTCTGATTAAGGATTTTTCTATCCTCTGGTTAGATACCCAGAAATGGAATTTCTGGGTCATACAGTAATTTTATTTGTAGGTTTCTGAGGAAGCTCCATATCATTCTCCACAATGTAAATAATAAACATATTAGTCTGAAAAGTTATTATGTATTTTTCTATGCAAAAGTGCATCATAACTTTTCCAGCAACTATATGCCATTGTTAGAAAATGAAAATCTAATGATGTTACTCCCCTGCCATCCCAGATCCAACAGCCTGTAGAATAAAGACCAAACTCCTGGAGTGTGAAAAGCAAGACCCTTTATAAACTGAATTCCACATGCCCCTCCACCTCTTCCATGACAAGGCTCTTCTTCGTCATAGAAGCACCCCGTACATCTCCAAGCATACCTTGAAATTCAATGCTTTGTTTATGTGCCCTATAACCCACTCTGATGCCTTTACTCCACTCTTTGCCTCACTAACTCCTATCCTTCCTTCTTTACATTCAGTGATCATTTCTTCCAGAAAAGTTTCCTTTACTTCCCCCCAGAGTGAGACAGATGCCCTTCACCTTTTCTCCTAGACCTCCTTTTGTTTACCTGAATCAGAACACTTAGCTATACCTACACAATTCATAAACTCTTACTACTGGGTTCTTTATTAACTACACCAAAGATAACAGCTCGTACTTAACTACAGGCTTACTTGTGTGAGACAATATGTTAAGGACTGACACACTCTATCTCACATAATCCTTGTAGCAGTCCAAATGAGGAGCTGAAGTTATTACTCCTGGTTTTTAGTCTACATATGTAAAATAGTTTGCCCAATTGACACAGCAAGCAAATGCAGGGTGAGCTCCAGACATAGACTTATACTTCGTTAATTTCGTATCCCCAGAACCAACCTGGTACCTGGCACACAGCATACTTACTTAGTGAGGAGGGAGTGAATGGAGAAGTAGATAACTGACATCAAGGGGTTTGAAAAATAGAAATGTGCATATATTGTTGTCTGTTAGCCAAATTACCTAGTGACAGTTACAAAAGAGTATCCAGAAAGGATGATATGGATATATGAAAATAAATAAGGCAAGTCTCTACTTCTCTGGGTAAGTTTCCCCATCTGCCAAAAGAGGAGCAGAGTGCAAACTTATCCAATGCTCTCCAAGGTCTCACTCAGCTCCTTAAACGTAAGTATGGTGGTATATCATATTTACACTATTATCAAGTGAGGAAGTAGTTGCATTACTAAAATTTACATGCTTAATGTCCCAAATGTAGAAAGAGAACACCAAACAACATCCAGATTCAATTTTCCTTCTCAATATTCCAGGCTTCTGGAGTTTTGTTGTGCTGGTCAACATAGTGGATAAA